TTACCTGCCTCTTCAAAAATGTGAGGACTGGACTCTTTATTGTTCATCTCGTCCACTCACATGATGCCAGCAACACACAATGTCTGTCGTAATAAAAACAAGAAAAAAAATTAATATAATGTACTAGAAATGTTTCTTCTGCTTATTTTCATTGATTTCTTCTTTTTTAAAAGCTAAGTAAAAAAAATGGCAAGTGGAAATAGTTCAGTTTCAACTGATCCAAATGATGCGGACATCCAACGTATGGTAAGTTTATATAAGTGACTTACATTTTTCATGATCACTCTATTTTAGTAATATCAATTACCAAATAAAAAAAAAAAAGACATAAGTCTAGCCGATTTTCTAAGCAATGAGATAATCATTGGCCTAGGAGACAAATGGTAATATTTTGTATTGAAGGATAAAAAGGACTGGACCAATGCATTAATCTCAATTCAGTTACATTAGGTTGCATGATGGATGTTTTCATGGTCGAAGAATTTTAAACCACTATAGTCACCCAGACCACTTCAGCTCAATGGAGTGGTCTTGGTGCCAGGTTGCTCTAGTGTCAACACTGCAACTGTAAACATAGCTGTTTCCTAGCCTAGAACAAAAAAACGCTATAGGGTCATTAGGTCCACCCCACCCTCCGGGTCCCATTCCTGCAGGGCACTCGGGGTTAAAACCCCTTCAGCCACTTAACTTTCTCCAGCACTGTGCTCCCTCGGCTACAGCAATTGCAACGCAAGCATTCTAAACACACATGGTAAAGCATTACTCAATGCTTACGTATTGACATGCAGCATCTTATCACTGGCATTGAGTAATGCTTTCCTATGGGCGGTTTGAATGCGTGCACTGCAGTTGCCGCGCAGGCGTATTCGGCAATGATGTCAGTAGGAGGAGTGTTCACCATCACCGAGGGAGCGCGGTGCTGGAGAAAGAAAAGTGCCTGAAGGGGTTTTAACCCCGAGTGCCCTGCTGGAGTGGGACCCTGAGGGTGGGGTGGACCTAATGACCCTATATTGACAAGAAAACTTTTTTTTTTTAAAAACACTATTGTGGTCCTCTAACTGTCATCATTTATTCAATACCGACTAGGATTCATACAAATGTTATTGTGTTTATGAAGATCTAATACATATTAAAAAAAAAACTACTACATATATTTATAGCTGTCAGAATATTTTGAGGACCGTCATCGACATGCAGTTGATCCAGATATTTTAAATAGTATGGACTGGGATCCACCTGCACAGCAAGTGATTAATGACGAAAATACGCAAGGTTCACCAACAAGAGTAGGAACATCGGAATGGTGTCTGTGTGGCAATTGTATGCCAATGCAAAGTGAGGAAGAAAGTCTATGCTGCAGGGAGATAGAGAACATTGTCGATATGTTGAATGAACAACAGAATTGCATTTGCAATCTTCCATATCTACGTGAGCAATTATCTTCACGGGAACACGTGCTGTCTCTATACCGTTATGGTCTCAGCTATGTAAAATCCGCTCGATTCCGTTCTCCGGAACAAATGCAGGAAAGGTGAGTGTATCATAAATCTAAATACAGCGCATTGTTCTTTAAAACGGTCATGGATTTAAAAAAAAATGAAGCAAAATTAATCTCTAAAGGAGCACCATAGTGACACAATAAAAACCTTGTTTTGCTGGCACTATATAGTGGTTAAGTCACCCCCCAACCTCTGGTGAACAAATCCTGCTAGTCTGAAGGGGCTAAAACATCGTCAGCCACTAGCCTTTGTCCAGTGTTGTGCTCCCCCGGTGATGGTGACCTCTCCTCCTCCTGCCAATGTCCGCTACCAATGCACATGCGTGTCTATAGCGTTGCGCATTCGGTAAACAGCCTATAGGAAAGAATTACTCCATGCTTGCCTTTGAACGTCCAGCGTCTTCTCAGTCAGTTAGAATTGTGTAAGCTCCTCTTGCGAATGTCTGTGAGACAGCCACTAGAGGCTGGATTAACCCTCAGTGAAACACAGCAGTTTCTATGAAACTATGTTTACACCAAAATGGGTTAAAAATAGTGGGACCTGGCACACAGACCACTCCAAGTCAATGAAGTTGTCAGGGTGCCTGGTCCCTCTAGTTTTAACCCTGCCGCTCCAAACATAGTGTAGGAGAAACTGCTAGCTTTCAATGAGGTTTAATCCAGCCTCTAGTGGCTGTCTCACTGACAGTCGCTGTTTCCTCAATTCTCACAACGCTGGATGTCCATAGGAAAACATGGAGTAATGCGGACTCTGGCAGAAGGAGGAGAGGTCGCCAGCACAGAATGAGCTCGGTGCTGGAGAAAGTCAAGTGTCTGAAGGTGTTTTAACCCCTTCAGCGCATCATGAGGGGGGGCACTGAGGCTGTGTGGGGGGGGACACTAATGACCCTATAGTGCCAAGAAAACGAGATTTTTTTCCTGTCACTATAGTGCTCTTTTGTTTTTAGTATTCAAATACTACAATTGTTTATGTTTAGTTTTAATTACTTTCTATAGTTTTTGATGCTAAATTTTATATTCATAATTTAATATTTTTTATTCTATATTCCATTGACACTCATTTTTTGTTTGGTTATTTATATGCAATGTTAAATGTTTCCTTTTTTTTTTTGTTCACAGTGACTACCGAAAAACTGCCTACAGGTCCTTCACAATGTGGGTGTACGGATACCTGGGACCCAAAAGGCGGCGTCCGATACCCTCGTGCACAGTAAAACTGACTAGGTCACACTTTCCTGCACCAGATGCGATATACATGGGTTTTAGATATGCGGATGATGACCCTATAGCTGTTGAACTTGTATAGTAGACAGTACGAAGCCTTGCAATTGTTTTAGTTTATCAAAATGTGTTAACTATTCAACATTGTCTGTTTGTTGTATATAATGTTAAAAAAATTTAATATGTTAATTTATTTTTATTGTACAATGTAAACTGTTATAAAAATGTTTATTTCTTATATTAATATATTAAAAAATGATAAAAAATATTGCATTTTTTATTATTTTAATGATACTTTCATCTACTAATTTTATTTTATTAAAAAAATAACACAAACAGTTATATATATATATATAATGTTTTTTTCAAATACTAAAAGTAATTTTACTTCAGTGTGATGGGTAAAATTATTTGTCCTTTAAACCAGCTATCACTAATTTCAATAGGGTGTCTACATGAACATAATTATTGAATAAAGTACAAAAATTGTGAAGTAATAAACATTTATTAACAACATTGAAAAAAAAATTTACAACAATAATTTAATGTAATAAATAACAAAATTTTAAAAATAAAATTTGGAACACAAGTTAACTTTTTTTTAAAAGCATCAACATCGCTAAATTAACTTTATTGTTACATTACATGGTTTGAAAATACAAATAATATTTTTTTTTTTTATTAAGTAAAACATTATTCGACAATATCAACTTAGAATTTTCAAAAATATGACAATAATAAATATTTTAAATTAAATAAAATAGTAAATTACAGGCACAATAATAACTTAATGTGCATAAAGTTGTTATGGTTCCTGTAATGTAACATGTTAAATAAAACAAAAACAAATAGTAAGTAAGTGCAACGTCCTGGTTTTGTATAAGAAATTATACAAACTGAACCAAAAATCAAAATTATTTTAAGAAATTAAAATGTGTTCTTCGAATACAAATTACAACTAAATTGCACTATAAACAAGTATTTAGCACCATTAACAGAAATGTCATTTTTATCACCAGTCCAAAAATTTCTTACACAAATTATACATTTTTGAACATTTTAAAGTCTTCTTGGGCGTAAACGCAAAAAGTGACGGTCAACCATTACCTCCTTTGGTGGGCGAGGTGTTGAAGCAATGTTTATTGGAAGTTGCCCTGTTTGAGACTGCCAATTAACATGTAAGTCACCTGAGGCTATTCGTAGTACGTCAGCCATCATTGGATATATATGGGCAATAGTGGTTTTTTCATATATTTTCTTAATTTTCCAATTTTTACTCCTTTTAGAGAAAAACGGTTTGAACCTCAAGTCCCCAATGTGTCCAGTGCCTGCTTGTTCTTTCTGTATAGTGGCCTGTTCTCTGCCTACATTGGCGTTGTGGGCCAAAACAGCCAGTTGTGTCCTGGCTACCATCCCATCCATCGTGAAATGTACTCTTTTGGGACGGTATTTTAATACCAGGCTATGAAAGACTTCAAGTGATCCCGTGTGGCAAAAATGAACCAAATGTGGAAAGTCTTTCTCTAATTTTGAATCTGTGACAAAGCTTCGAAGTTTGGAGTATGCCACTCCATTTTTTTTCAACCAGGATTTCTGTTCAAGAGTTTGATCATATTCCGCATGTTGACATTTTTTGAAAAGTGTTGCAGAGTCCCATTCATGTTCGTTTATAATGTGATGCATTACCGACAGCCATTTCTCTTTTAACAAAATTGGATTTCCTTTGCTGTATGAACAAGCTGCCCACATGTGATTTATTATCGAATTTTGCCACGGAACCAATTCCTTGTACATCGCTTGGCGACATATGGTTGATAGTTTTAACCGAATGCTCCGACAATAGTGCCATATATCGAATTGGTGATTAATGGCTTTGTATCTCTCTCTCATGATTTTCCTTATGCTTACATGACGATCGGTAACGAGAATTGAAATTAGAATTTTGTCGGCTAGTACTTGGTCCATGCAACTTTTGAATGCCAGTGATTCCATAGCAACAGATGATTTTGCGTCACTCACTTGAATTGTTTGACATTCTATTATTTTTTGCGATTTTTCCTCCAAAAGTGAATACGTGCAGTACTTGGCATTAAATCCAGGGCTGTCACATTGCCCATCTCCTGACAGACATACCATTTTTCCACGTAATCCATCTATCAATAATCTTCTTTCTTTCTTATAATGATGATCGATTATTGGAAATAAAAATTGTTTTTGATATATGTAATGTATGGATTGTGAAATAAACGGCACTCCAAAAATTGCAAAAAGTTCCGCAACTTTAGCAAAATTCGCAACGATGATTTGATTCACAGACAGTGTATACTTTTAACAGAGTGCCTGATATAATTTTTTCAGTGTTTGTTATTGGAGCGTTACATGGTTCGTGAAAAGTACATGTTTGAACCTTTTTGATCAATAAATCGAGAGAAGTTTCAAACACAATAAACTTCTTTTCTGAAACATAATCCTCAGGAGAGGGCTCTGTTAAAAATGTTAGATCGCCAATATCGGTTGTTTCTTCTTCGGGACTGTAAATCGGATCATTGAATTCTGAAACATTCAGAGTTGCATCCATTTCCGATACTCTTGTAATTGAAGAAATGTTTGAGAATGGCGTATCTATGTTTTCTACAGGAACGGACTGTTGTGAATTTGGGGATAACAGTAGTTCTGTCTCCATTGGCATTGCACCTGGCATAGTGCAAACCTTTTTTATAGTATCTGTTTGCTGTACAATTGCAGCGTTTGGTGAATTGTCAATGGATCCTGCAAATTCTTCTGTAGGACCAGTCCAAGTCCAGACATCCTTTGTTGGATTCAAACCAATTATATTGGTGGATACATCACTTGTTTGAATTACACTGTGGGTTTGTGTAGACCTGCTCCGCCTTCCGTAGTATTTTGAAGTTGATACACCTTTGGCAATCATTGTTAAATTTGTGGTGTTGGTAGCTATGTTCATAAATGATTTATCAAAAGCCATTTTGTAATGGAAACCTGCTATATACTCGTGATCGTAAATAGATGTCTCTGACTGAGCTCCGAGGTCCTCTGACGGAGCTCCGAGGTCCTCTGACGGAGCACCGAGGTCTTCTGACGGAGCACCGAGGTCTTCTGACGGAGCACCGAGGTCCTCTGACGGAGCACTGTGTCCCTCTATTGAAGCACTGCGGTCCGCTGACGGAGCACTGAGGTCTAACATTTCTATATCACTACTGTTTTCTGCTCTCCTTAAAGTCATATCGTGTAAAGTTTGTAAAACTTTAGCTTTTACAAAAATAGTTGGTTTTGCCATTAAAACCAATCGTGTTCTCCTTTCAGACTTCACTATCATATCTGATGTGAAATGGTCCGAACAAATTTTGAAAATATCACTTTTTTGTTTTTCCATGATTAATTGAATTGAGCCATCTAGGTTGACAAATTCGTCACCTGTGGCTTAAATCCATTCTTTAATTCTGTCCGGTGTACTTGGAAAATTAAAGAAAGAGCAATCTGGTGAATGTCTAGTGTGACTGTTTCTGCAGCCTACAACTAAACACTTTGGCATTTTGTCTATGTTTTTAAAACAATAAAAGGGATGACAAAAGAAAATAAGAATAACATGTAGTGTGATTGTTGGCGCCAACACTTCTCTTAAATAATACTGAAATTTTTTTGACATTCTTAATTTTGACAATTACAACTATAATAATTTTATTAAATTTAGTAAACTCAAAAATGGACGACGAACACATAAATAAACAGGCACTGAAGACTACATATACGATTCACAAAAAAAAATATATCACTTGTGTTCTAAATATTTGCACACATTCATGTATTATTATTCGACTGTTAAGAATTACTCTTTAACTTCCCTGCTGTCGCGCCAACGTGTTGGAGGTGCCAGGAGGACAACGGGACTCTATTACACATCTGGTGTGAATGCAGACTTATCGCACCATTTTGGAATCGACTCAAATCAGATGTTCTCCTAATCCTTGGGAACGACACTGAATGGTCACAAGAACTGGCCTTACTGCACATCTCCTCGCAATCACTATCCGCATACAAAAAATCTGTACTGCGCCATCTACTGAACGCTGCCAAATCACTCATTCCAGTATACTGGAAGAATACAGACATCCCCACAAGAGAAGAGTGGATTCACAGGGTCGAAGACATTAGAGCGGCAGAGGCACTACAGGCAGAATTGACGGGCAGAGAGGCAAAATATGCGAACATCTGGGAACCGTGGCTCACCTTCCGTGCGCAACAATAGGGGGGCGCTGGCGGGGGGAGCTGGGGGCCGGGGGACGGCGCAGCCCTCTCGACAGACCCACTACATACATTATGACCTGCGGCCGCCAATGCCACTCCTGTTGACAGACACTATGCCTCATGTACCATCCACACCACTCCGACTGGACGAGACACTACAAAGGATGACCTGAGCCAACAAAAACGCCCCTAAGCGGCCCACATAAATACACACAATTAACTGGCTAGTCGACACTCACATATCGCCCCTAACTAGACAGCACGACACAGCGACGGACTATGAGCCCTCACAGGCAAAGACAGCGGTCTCCGGACCTCCACCGTCCCCACGGAGGGGAAGAGACAAAATGAGACAGACCTAACACTGCACGATATCCACACCCAATCAGATGATAGACATCAGACGCATCAACCTGACCCCCACGGGAACCCTGATTATACACCATACGACAAAACAGGCTGACTGGGACCTGACCGGACAGATGAACCATCCGAGGGACTGGGTGTTGCAGAGCACAACGACCCTCACATGTAGGGACCCCTCGCCCTCAACCCCCCTTACTTATGACGACGATATACCTTCACACTCACGGGGCATCACGGCCAACTTGTACCTCATACCTCCGTCAACACAAGACACCTGATACGACACTTCCAACGCACGCCTATTGCGACATGCACAACCCGATCATACAAGCTAGGCATGGAACACGACACGGTCAGGCAACAGGTCGACCAAGTCTGGGGAAACCTCATGACACAGCTGGGCTCTCCCGCAATGACCCTCCTGCACCAAATGCGGGCAGTTGAGGGAAGAATGAGAACACCTCGATTAAACATTCACATTGTTGGAGGGACTCTCCCATGCTATCGTGTCCTCTTCTCGAACCAACACCATCCTCTTCCCATCCCACCTACAATAATTGTGTAATGCCACATACCTTTATTGCCAACACTCAACAACGCCCTACCTGTGGGCTAAGACACACCCTAATCCAATACATCACACCCCACTTCCACACTTCTCGATGAGAAGACTTGACACACGAACCATTAGTATTCACACGGCTATAAAACGCCGATACATACCAATTACCCCGCACCGCCCTAGCCCTCAGGGGACTGATCTGAATAACTATGATTATCACGAGCTCTAGCTAAGTACCCCTGGGAGAGGGACACGGTAACGACTACTATTAACGATCTCATGTTACCTAATATTGCAACTGTAATAGATTCTAACCACACATATTTATACTGTTTGGATATCTGATGCTTTTATTATGTAACCTTGTATTCTACTATAAATGCGGGCCTGCGGGCCCAACTTTATTTACTGACTGGCTTCAATAAAAACTGATTAACAAAAAAAGAATTACTGTTTAAAACTGAAAACTTAATACAACACCCCCCCTAAAATAAAAAAATTAAAAAAAAATATTAAATATATCTTTAAAAAATTAAAATATGTTAGTTTAATTTATTGGAGATTGTGTTATGTTAATCTTTGCAAATTAAAGGACCACTCTAGGCACCCAGACCACTTCAGCTTAATGAAGTGGTCTGGGTGCCAGTTCCTTCTAGGGTTATCCCAATTTTTTTATAAACATAGCATTTTCATAGAAATTGCTATGTTTGTGAATGGGTTAAGCCTTCCCCTATTTCCTCTAGTGGCTGTCTCATTGACAGCCGCTAGAGGCACTTGCGTGTTTCTCACTGTGATTTTCACAGTGAGAGCACGCCAGCGTCCATAGGAAAGCATTATGAATGCTTTCCTATGTGACCGGCTGAATGCGTGCGCAGATCTTGCCGCGCGTGCGCATCAAGACAACGGGGATGAGAAGAGGAGGATGGGAGGAGGAGAGCTCCCGCCCAGCGCTGGAAAAAGGTACGTTTTAAACAGTTTCCCCTTTCAAGAGCCGGGCGGGAGGTGGACCCTGACATTTACATTTACAAGTAAAGTAAATAGCAATTAGATGACGTTAGACATTCTCACAGATTTTAACGTCAGATAAGTTAACTATAGGAATGCAATCAGAAATTCTTCACTATGGTAGAGGTTTAAAGGACCACTATAGTGCGAGGAAAACATACTCTTTTTCCTTGCACTATAGTGCCAGGAGGGTGCACCGACCATCAGGGTCCCCCTCCTGCCGGGCTATAGGGTCAGGAAGGGGTTAAACTTACCTCTTTATCCAGCACCGGGCGGTGAAGCTCTCCTCCTCCTTTTCCCTTCCTACTTCTTCTATTCGTCTTTGGCTGAATTTTTCAGCCACTCCATAAAAAACCATTCACAATCCTTTCCTATGGACGCTGGCGTCACGTAAGCGCCACTAGCGGCTGTCAAGAGACAGCCAATGGAGGATGGATTAATCCATTTATAAACATAGCATTTTATCTGAAACTGCTATTTTAATTAAAAAATTGGTTAACCCTAGATGGACCTGGCACCCAGACCACTTCATTAAGCTGAAGTGGCCTGGGTGCCTAGAGTGCTCATGTAACGCGAATAGCCATAGCTTACCGATATTCAATACATTTACGATTTCTAAATTCTAAATATAAACAATTTTAAAAAGGAAAATGCACAAAATATACATGACACATGTACTAGATGCAGTGTGTTTATACAGGGGAGTTGTGTGTATTTGTGTAGTGTGTATATAATGAATGCATAGCGTGTGTGTGGTGTGTGTGTTTCGGGAGGTATGTAATTAAAGGACCACTCTAGGCACCCAGACCACTTCAGCTTAATAAAGTGGTCTGGGTGCCAGGTCCAGCTAGGGTTAACCCTTTTTTTCATAATTATAGCAGTTTCAGAGAAACTGCTATAATTATGAATGGGTTAAGCCTTCCCCCTAATCCTCTAGTGGCTGTCTCATTGACAGCCACTAGAGGCGCTTGCGTGCTTCTCACTGTGATTTTCACAGTGAGAGCACGCAAGCGTCCATAGGAAAGCATTGTAAATGCTTTCCTATGCGACGGGCTGAATGCGCGCGCAGCTCTTGCTGCGCGTGCGCATTCAGCCAGCGGGGCGGATCGGAGGCGGAGAGGAGGAGGAGAGCTCCCTGCCCAGCGCTGGAAAAAGGTAAGTTTTGACCCCTTTCCCCTTTCCAGAGCCGGGCGGGAGGGGGTCCCTGAGGGTGGGGGCACCCTCAGGGCACTATAGTGCCAGGAAAACGAGTATGTTTTCCTGGCACTATAGTGGTCCTTTAAAGGTTTCATTCAGTAAAAATTTTCAATAAACGTTACCACTCCAAAAAATTGCCTACCTTGATCAAAGTCACGCACAATGCTGATTCTGATGACGCAAGTCAATTCTCTGAAAATAAAAACAAAACAATATTATTTTTAAAAGAAATTAAAATTCATGTTTAAGATTAGTTGGATACATAAACATGATTTTGACTGTGTGCCAGCAGGCGAAAAATGCAGCCCCAAGAAAGGAAAAGTATAAATCCTGGGCAGCACTTTTCACGTGCTGAGCAACAGTGAAACTGTGGCAATATGGAGAAATGTATTTCTTCAACACAGCCATTTTATGTATGCCCTCCAGGAAAGCACAGGTGAAGAGCCTGTCTGCCTTGCATGCGCTGAAGCGCAAGATGAAGGACAGACCTTTTCCTGCGCTCCAAGGATGGCATACTAAAATGGTACATAACGATTGAATACACAATTCAACACTCCCTAACGGGTGGTAAAAAAAAATTGAAAGAAAGAAAGAAAGATAGCAAGAAAAAAAGTGAGTCTGACTGTGTGCCAGCAGGCGAAAAATGCAGCCCCAAGAAAGGAAAAGTAAAAATCCTGGGCAGCACTTTTCACGTGCTGAGCAACAGTGAAACTGTGGCAATATAGAGAAATGTATTTCAGCACCAGAACCTTTTGCATAGATATCTCTTTATCCGATATGTATAAGCATACAATAAGACAAAGAGAGCCAGGCAAACTTTACCCAAAAATATAGACAAATTAAAACTT